TAAGTGAATAAGAACACTTACTCATGCTGCCAATAATTTGCTAATGATAATATATCAAAATACAATGCTAATAATAAAATAATGACGGGGTAGGTTTTTAGGTGGGATTGCCAAGTGATGCTTCATAACTAGTGGCTGATTGCAGGCGATGGCTATGAAGTGAAGGAGGTCAGGTTTGAACAGTGTCGATATGAGGATTGATTGGTATTCTGGAATTTGATTTAACTTTACTTTGAGGACTGGCAATTATCTCTTGCAGAATTGTCCTGGGAGATTGAGGTAACAGGATGGCATTCACACGATAGTAAACAAGTGCGTATGGTTAGTATAAAGCGGAGGCTGGATGTCTCTTTGCCTCTTTTCTTCCATAAGTTTAATACGTTCTTAAATTATGTGGATTTGCGCACATGTGCGCTTGCTCCGATCCAAAGATTCATACGTTTCCCTGTGCAATACCATAGGATTTAGCATAAAGATCAAAACAGCACAATTTCAAACAGACATTCTGTTTTCTTCCAAGTGTTTAGAAAAATCCCAGTGCAACATGGAAATAATCTGCCTTATTTCCAAAATTGTATCCCCGTGATACATTGTGCCAACTGAGGATCTGTGAAAATGTTGCTTTGAAGTCTAACTAGATCTCAGCTGCCATTAAAAAAAACACTGCGAAAGAGTATCAGTGTATTGGTGACGCGGCCTGACCTCAATTCACAAAGATGTCGCTGGCCATCTAGTTTCTGAGAAACATCAGCTGTGTAATAATACTCGCATCTCACAATGCCAAAACATCTCAAAACGCTTCACGGCTAATTGCCGTAAGGCTAGTGAGGCAGTGATTGCGGATTTGTACGCAAACACGGCAGCCGGTTTGCGCCCAGCGGAATCCACAGGCATCCCGAAAAGCGAACCGGCGAGCAATTTGTGTGCAACATATCGCAGAGCAATAACCTCCGGATATCTTCCATCGCTAAAGTTACGTGCGAGAGGTTTGGTTCGTTTGGGTCCTACTGTTTCGTGCTTCAATTTAGACCTTCCCAAGATCTTCCCAGGACTGGAGAGCTCCTGGCGTCTCTCAAACTTTCACAACCCGAGCTTGACACCGACTGACCGCTTTGAGATGCATTTTAATCGCTCCCACTCTTTCAAACGTTGGGTGGTGTCCTGCACCATTGACCTTGGCATTTTCTCAACAATAAAAATAAATAAATTGTTGCTGTTTTTAATTTGTAGGTTAAGTATTTCAGTTGGTTCACATGACGGGGTGAAATATGCAACATTTCACAACAGACTCCATCCGATAATTTTCCATGCGATTCGACAAACAGATCGGTGGTGAGATGTCACAGTGTTCACTCCCCCCGTGCAATAAAACGAATCTGACGTTAACCGATTAAAAATCCAGAACTTGGAAGAAACCAATCGAATTAGTTTTAACTATGGGATGGATCACTAACTGAGACACTCGTAAACATGTTTTTTTTATTAAAAATTGAATGATGTGCTAAAAAAAAAGTCCTAAGACAAAAGAAGATTGGCGTTTCTGAAAGGTACATGAAGTACTTTTTCCGATGATTGGAACACAGTGAAATTGACTATTTATTTTGGAATGTTTTCATGTCGCCAAGCTTTAAGAAAACAATTAGCTGATATATTTTCCCACAGTTAGACCCAGTGATCACGGAACTCGGAGTGAGCGCACAGGATGATCAGAAGTTAAAATTGCCGGAGTCCACATTAATAATAATAGTCCTTGCATTTGATATAGCGCCTTTCACGTCGGGAGGACGTCCCAAAGCGCTTCACAGAACACACTGTAAAGTGAATTGCCTGTATATTTGTGGGCGAACGCGGCAGCCAATTGCCCACAGCAATGTCCCACAAACAGTCGTAGATTGAAAATGACCAATTTATTATTGTTTTTGGTTTTGGAGGGATTATTATTAGGCTCTGTGTGGAGTAAGGAAACTTGCCCAAGGTTTCGCCCTCTGCCTGGAATTGAACTCAGGTCTCTCGCTTGCAAAGCGAGTGCTCTAACCACTGAGCTACATTGGTGCAGACCAAGCTGCCTGATGGCGACGTGTGGCTCGTGATTTCGAAATTGCTGGTGTCTACAAACTCTCGGCACAATCAGTTTTCGCCCGCAAAGTATACAGCCGATTCGCTTGACAGTATATCCCGCGAAGCGCTTTGAGACGTCTCGAAGACGCGATGAGGCGCCGTATCAAATGCGAGGATTCGTTTATTTTATTGTTTAATGTCTGTACTTGAGGAGGGACGGTGTTTAACAAAGAATTCACGTACTAACAGGTGAGGTTCAGAGCCAGATGGCCCTTTGGCTAGTTGATCTCATTCTTTCAGAATACCAGCGCAATCACTTTCCAATCACAGGATCACACTGTTTCTTTAATGATCCTGATATCCTGGTCTCAGACCCATTCCTGGTAACCAGTTCAAGCTGCTCTTTGTGTTCTGACTTTGTAGAGCGTCCAGTGGCGATTATATCAACAGTGGGATTAAGAGGCGAGATATTTCTTAAGAGTTTAGGAGGGTTTAAAATAATGAAGGGAATTGACCAGATAGCAGATGGCACTTCTTTCTGTTAGAGAGGATCCAAAACTAGAGTGGGTGCACAGTTTTAAAACGCGAGTTACGCCAGTTAAACATGTGGTCAGAAAGCATTTGTTCGCGTAGAGTGCTGTCAAAATGTGCAAGGCATTGCCCCAGGAGACAGTACAGGGGGAATCCATTGAAATATTTAGAAGGGAGATAGGCCCTCGAGAAATAAGGGTTTTAAGAGCATGGAGGAAAAAAAAGCGGAGTAAATGGGATTAAAAGATTTGCCATAATGGTTGGAAATTGGTCAAACAAGCTCAATGATCGGAAGTGACTTGCTCTGTAATTGCCTGTCACATTCCTGACCTTGCACCCTCTTGCCCTGCTCCCTCAGCATAGGTGAAGATTATTGCTCCGGGTTCACTCACGTTCCCCTGTTTAGAGTTGTACGTCTACATACTTCCATAAGCAAGGACGGAGAACCCTAGTTTATTCAGTTGCTTCTCCTGGGCTCATCCATCTGAAGGCTGACGATGGTTTGCTTTGCTCCCTTTTGTTGCTCCTGTGTTATTTTATTGATCCCTTCTGCGACACTTGTTATGTCTTGTGAGTAGTGATCGGGACTGCGCCCAGTACTCCAGGTACAGCCTGACCAGAGCACAGCGTAGCCTGAGTGTGACTCATTGCTTCAGTGTTTGTTCGGGAGAGTCCCATTGAGAATGTGGCCGCTTTGACATGGAATGAATAGTGGCTATTTACTCGTAATGCGGCTATCAATAACGAAACCATAATAGTCAGAAGGCCATAGCTGTGTAAGGCAATAACAGCCGGGCAAACGTATAGTGCTGCGTCTCACTGTGTTGACGATTTACTCCTCGAATGAGCCTGGAAACCCGTCGAAGAGTAACTCAGCAGAAAGAACTCAACTGGTGCTGAGATGAAGCCAAGGCAGGCCTCACGTGCGTTTATCTCGCGGAAAGAGGGGAGAGGAGGGGAGAGAGGGGAACAAGGCGGAGGGATTGAGGGAGAGTGTTCCAGAGTTTCGAGGCGTGGTGGCTGAAAGCGCAACCTCCGATGGTGGGGCGGAGGCTGCGAGGGACGAGCGGAGGAGATGACCGGGTGGGTGGATCGGGGAGCGAGGAGGTCGGAGAGGGAGGGAGGGAAGGATGTGCCAGGGAGTTGAACACGAGAGCGAGAGGATCTTGAAGTCGATTCGTTCGGTGATGGGGAGCCAGGGGAGCCTGGGCCAGAGCCTGTGAGCTGTGGGTCGATGTATTTCTTCAGCCACACCTGAAACATTCAGGTCACCCAGTGCTTGGCAGGACATCAGTACCAGGGCAGTAACCTCAAACAAATTGATATGACAAACTCGTCTCAAATAGCGATTGAGGTTTCCAAAAGGGGACTTTGTTAGTTATTTTGGAAGCAACGGCATCCAAGGATAGGGAAACGGGATTAAGAATATAAAGTGCTGCCGGGGTGCAATTAATGTTACATTATTTGATGTATGTAGTGCCTTTCACACCAGGAAGACGTCTCAAAGTACCTCGCAGGATTTGCTGCGTACGTGACTGTATTTTGTAGGTAAACACGTCAACCAAAATGCAAACAGCTATGAAACGAATAACCAATTGTATCCAGGGGTCTCAGAAGACTGTGGCTGCCTTGGAGAGAGTAACTCCCAGTTACCAGAGGATTAGTCACCTGGACTTCTGTGCTCCAAATTGGTGCAGGTCCCACCAGTGGGATATTGCTGGGAGGCAAATTGGCTGCCGCGTTCGCCTGCAAAACACACAGTCACTACACTGTACACTGTAAAGAACTTAGAGACGTCCCTCTGACGTTCAAGGTAACATAATCCTTGCATTTGCTACAGTGCCTTTTCACGTCTTCGAGACGTCTCAAAGCGCTTCACAGAATGTACCGTGAAAGTGATTTGACTGTATATTTGGTGGGCGAAAGGTACTATATCAAAAACAAGGGTGATCGTAGGATTTACATGGGGTAATCTGCCCAGGTAGCTTCCAATATCAATGCAAATCTCCACTATACTGATAAGATATGTGGAGTCCTGTAGCTCAGTGGTTAGAGCACTCGCTTTGCAAGTGAGAGACCTGAGTTCAATCCCAGGCAGAGGGCGAAACCTTGGGCAAGTTTCCTTACTCCACACAGAGCCTAATAATAATCCCTCCAAAAAACCCAAAACAATAATAAATTGGTCATTTTCAATCTACGACTGTTTGTGGGACATTGCTGTGCGCAATTGGCTGCCGCGTTCGCCCACAAATATACAGTCAATTCACTTTACAGTGTGTTCTGTGAAGCGCTTTGGGACGTCCTCCCGACGTGAAAAGCGCTATATCAAATGCAAGGATTATTATTATTATTATTATAAGATTTCTACCAACAGTCTCTCTCTCTTTTTTTTTGTCCCTCTCTGAATACAGGACGTTACAATTCACCAGCTTGAAAATCATTCCGAGGGGAGCTTTCGCTGGACTCAGCAATTTAACAAGCATGTACGTATTTAACTGATGTGTAGATTTATAGAACGCAGCTGGAGGAGTGATGAATTTGAGCCGTAAAAATACATTAACTCTGAAGAGAGTGACAAGAAATTGAATATACCAACACCACCACCACCGCACACAAAAAAAAAGGGTGCAACTTGTGCACAAAGGTAATGGCCAGGCTGCAGATGTAACGAGCAGTGTTCAGTGCTTTTACGGTGTAAATACAATGCCCCAAAGTAATGAGTTCAGTGCAGTTACGTGAAGAATTTGTCACATCAGCCATCGTTATACGATAAATAGCACAACAAGTGAGGCCGACTGGGCAACACACGAGTCAAAAAGTTGCAGGAGACCAGGCTTCCGAGGACAGATATTTATTTATTCCAGTGTTTTTTTTTAAAACGAGAGAAAAAAAATGACGTTTCTCTCTTTTTTTTTACAAACCGATATCTCAGCCGCTCAGCACGATCGGCTCGCACTGCTTTCCCGCGTCACCCTTTCCCACTGCGATACGGTTTGATTTCCGCCGACATCGCTCTGCGTGACTACGGTAATGTTGAACAGTGTGACGTTCTATTTAACGGCGTGGTAGCATCAACAAAAACAACAACAACGACGACGACGACATCAACAACAACTTGCATTTATATGACGTCCAAAGAGGACGGACGTTGTCTCAGAGAGATTAGCAGTGGCGGAGGATCCCGATGCTGATTCCCGAGCCAGGGGGAAAGGGAAGGTGACCGTAGGTTACACACTCACGGAGCAAAAGGTTCTCGCTGAAGGGACTATCAAACCGTATTGCTGCAAAGTGCGTGGTAGGTGACATTACCAGGAATCACCTCTTTAACATGAAACACGGCTGAAACCAAAGGAAGGTGGTACTTAGATGGAAATGAGATCAAATGCAAATACTTTGAAATTGGCTGCCGCATTTTGCCCACAAATATACAGTCAATTCACTTTACAGTGTATCCCGTGAAGCGCTTTGAGACAGCTACGTGTAAGAGACTATTCTGTTGAATTCCCAGGTACACTTTGTTTGATTGTCAGCAGCGGAAAGCGAGGGAAGAAACCCGCTCTTCTTTCATCAAACAGATACAAAGCCTTTCAAAGATAGAACACCTGGTACTTCTCAAGCTTCATTCGAGGTCAAGTGTATCAGAAGCCAAAGCTCCTTGGATTTGGAGTTGCCCTTATTAACAGCTCACTGGCAAGAATACAGGATTGCTCAAAGACTCACTCGGTTTTACTAAACATGACCTGGGCCTTTAGATAAGCAAGAATTCCTGAGATGACAACTTGGCACCATTGAATGTAAAATACCACGCAAAATTCCAGATTGAAGAATCTATGGCACTCTAAAAATAAAACGGATCTCGATCTCAGAAAGCCATTGTCTACTCCCCCTCTCTCTCCCCGGCAGAACAAGTTGGTAGGTAGTGTACCAGCGTGACTCTTTAATTCTTGCTGGGATAAGAATAGCCTTTTTGGGGGTTTTTTTTGGAATCTCTCTACTTCTGCTAAACGTGGTGCAAAAAGAGCAGGTTTGAGATTGCACTGAAGTCGTTCCTCGTTTGTGAGCTGTCAAAATACACAGTCACTACGCTTTACAGTGGATCCTGTGAAGCGCTTTGAGAACATCTTGAAGACGCGATGAGGCGCTGGGTCAAATGCAAGGATTATTATTATTAATGCATTCTGCGGAAACAATTATTTGAAGTAGGAAAGTTTGCTGCTGACGGGGAGGTGAGTGCAATGAGCAAAGTGAGTAGGGAGCATTTATCCACCCACGAGCACAGTATAAGGGATAGACTGCAGTTGGTGGGTCTCAGTCTTCTTTGTTTCCTCAGTCGTGTCTGACTCTAAAACACAGCGACTGCGGTACTTGGCAGATCCTGCCAGTTTTTTTAAAAAAGACACCTCCGGTTTTGGCCTGAAAACTGCCCAAGTACACTAACTGCGTTCGACTCCAAGAGATCGCATCTCCTGGTACCGCTGGAGATAACCGTTGCGTGCTTATCATTGCCGTGCAGTTTGGCAGTAAACTGAAAGAAAAATGTACAATTCCGATCAAGCTATTGTGTCATGTTTACCTATCGAGCAGCATTCAGTGTCGGTCAAAGACAACGCCAAAATTAATGGAAAATTCACGAATTTAAAAGGGCTATTAAATACCATTGTGTTATCTGTTGCCAGGTGTAAACCGTGTGGTATAGAGAATTTACAGGTGCCCTTACCTATGGTGCTTCTCAGCTCTCCGGACCCAATCCCACGTGAAGGGCACTATACAAATGCAAGTTGTTGTTGTTGTTGTTGTTCTAGTCGTTGCTCTTTCAATTACATTATTATGGTATTGCTGATGTAGGTTGACAATTGCTGATTTTTATGTGCAAATGTCTCCGTCCGTCCTATAATAACTACCGGATTATATGAAAACAATTGAAATAGGTGTTCTCTGTTCAGAAGTTTACGTTGACCTCAGATTTTCAGCTATCTCCATTCTTAACCAACAGTATGGTGCTGCAGAATGATGCTTTGGAGAACATTGAAGCAAACACCTTTGCCAATCTTCCCCGACTGCACGAAATGTAAGTAAGCGGCAAGGAGTAAACTCCGTCTTCTTTGAAACGAAAAAAAAAGGCGCAAAATGTAATCGCTTATTGTAATTACTGAAACTTTTACTTCCTCACTGTGCTTAGTGTTGAAGTTCGTTCAAGAGTTGATGTTTTGTGTAGACTGTACTTCAGCGATGAAGGGTTTAAAGCTGAATTTATGGACGATGTATGTTGAATGCATACAAACAGACATGATCACTGTCATGAACATCTGGTGTTACAAGCTGAACCTGTGAAGTGCCATTGTATTGAGGATAATAGACATGATACTGAAGTGTGAGACGATATAGCAGTATATCAATAGGTTCATAGCATGATGAGGAGTTAAAATGGAACCTATCCATCCAAACTCTGTAAACTCTTTCCACTGTTCGTACCACACACCCGTAGGAAATAAGTGTCCTGGGTTTATAAGTGGTGCACTGTTTCTGATACTGACCCGAGGTTTGTGCGTTCCTACCTACAACACACAGGCCTTAATGTGACGCGCTTTGAGGTGGTTTGGTATTAAGAGCGCAAAAAAGTTAACCCGGAACAATACTATACTTTTGTTTGCAGCAAGACAGTAGAACAAGAGGACACAGGTTTAGAGTTGCAAAGGAAATTTCAGGACAGACACCTGGAGGTTTTTTTGTGTACGCGGAGGGTAAGTAACAACTGGAACAGTTTGCCAGGAAGGTTGGTTAGTGAGGGCCAGATCACTGGAGTTATCTAAACAAGCAGCTTGGTGCTGTGACGGTAGAGTGAGACTTCTGGAGGCGTGATGAGATCAGATGGGCCGAAAGGCACTTCATCCAAACCGATCTTCAGACTTGGACTAACCCATAAACCGGGTAAGCCACAGTGTAGGGCCTTGAGGTCTGAGCAGACCCTGGCTGCGATTGAGCCTTTACTTCCTGGCTGCGCCTCTTCTCATCGGTCTCTGCTATGAGGCTGCGCGGAGAGTGATGGGAAAAGGTCGGAACTGGAGGTACGTGTCACGCGAGAAACGCTTAAGTTTTCGAATAATAATAATAATAATCCTTGCGTTTGATACAGCGCCTCATCACGTCTTCGAGGCGTCTCAAAGAGCTTCACAGGGTATACTGTCAAGTGAGTTGACTGTACATTCTGTGGGCGAAACGGATGAAAGAGAATCGCTTGGAGGAATGAACATTTCCAAATGTGGCAAGAGCTCGTTGTGTGTTCTTACCGCTACTGTACCAGTAACAGTCTGTGAAAGGGAATACTCATTCGCAAAGATGAGTCTCATCAAAAACTCACTCTCAGATCTACAATGATCCGGGGGAGATCGAATGCACTTGCAATCGTGTCTATTGAGTACTGTTTGACACATACTCTTAAGTTTGGATCACGCAGTTGACATGTTTGCCACTGTGAAGTCGCACAAGAAAGTAGTGGGACTTTACAGCTGGAAACAAGTCAACGATTCTGTTTCATATACTTAAGCATTTCTCGCGGAATTTTCTCACACTTATCATACGATGTGAAATCCAGAAAGTGCGCAAATTCATCAACACTTTCCGCAGCAAAATCTTCTTTCAGCGCCGCTGAGCATTTTAAAAAGGTATTGTTGTATATTTTGGATCTCCTAAAATGTGGTGTGTCTTAGGGCCCCACCAATCCACTCACCTGGCCCTGACGATCTTGTGATGGGTGACTGAAAACGATCATTTCATTATGTTCAGTTCTGAGAGCCAGGACAATAAATCCAGGCAAAGTGTCGCCAGGCTCCGCTGACTTTCGATGCTCCACATCCTCACGCTTGCGTTCAAATCCCTTCACACCCAGGCGCCTCCCGACCTCTCTGACCTGCTTGTAATCCACTCCTTTTCAACCCACACCCTTCGTTCAGCTAACATTAACATTAGTGTTAATAGCTAATATCCCCAGTCCCTCCATGCCACCATCAGTGGCCGTGCCTTCAGCAGCTATGCCCCAAATATCTGGAAATCCCTGCTCAATCCCTTTGCCTCTCCCCCTCTTCATCTGTCTTCAATTCCTATTTTAAGACCTTCCTCTTTGACCTCCCCTCCTATGTTCACCTCATCTTCCTGCTTCTCCCTCTGCTCGAGATGCTCTCCTGAGTGAAGGATGCTTTATAAACGCAAGTCGTCATCGTTGTCATTGGTGTTGTTGCTGTTGTTGTTGCATTCTTGACCCAGACCCTCCCTGTGCCACTCAGCATCTCAGTTGCCACATTTTGTTTATATTTCTGCTTCTCGCAGAGAAACGCTTCGATTGTCAGTTTTCTCTTTCGGATCCCATCATTTTTTTCTGCACGCCCCAAAAATTGTAAACCTCAGCACATATCAGTTGTCGTGTGATCCTTGGCCTCCAACCTTCTGTATCGCGTTATCAGCTGATTCTTCTCAGCTGCAGGAAGTCTGCGTTGGCTGTAAAACGAACTGTAACTTCGCAACCTGCAACCCATCTTCAGAAATTTGCTGCCAGTTTTCACCCTTGAGTTCAGTGTTAAAATGATGCTCATCTGTGCGCAGTTGTGCAAGCGCCAGTGCTATTTGCAGCCCTTGTTGGCATCGTGCGCAGTTTGCAGTGACGATCACCCACATTCCAATTATTGAACCATGTGCTATTTTTGCGAAAAGCAATTTTCCCCTTGAATTGCATGGTGCCAGCCTGGCTCAGTTAGTAAGACCTCTCATCTCTAAATCAGGATGTTGTACGTCAGGGCTTTGAACTCATAATCTCGGCTGACACTTCGATTGGCCAATTGCTTCTCGGGGGTAATAATCCCTTCAAAAAATAAATAAATTGGTCACCACGATCGACAACTGTTCTGGGAAACCGCTGCGCACAATTTGGCTGCCGTGTTTCTCCCACAAATTATACGGTCAATTCACTTTACAGTATATTCTGTGAAACACTGTGAGACATCTCGAGGCACAGTAACAAATTATAAGAATCTGTTTGAAAGCATTTTGACATTCACTTGGATTATTTTAATCTATTCGGCCGTCTCCTTATTGGAACCATACGAAAAAAGAATTCTGTACTGCGCAAAAAAATAAAGCTCTGTATTTTCTTCTTCCGAATGTTATCCATGGACTGTGTTTACTATGATTTCATGGCTGTCTCATTCAGGGTGGATATTCTGGAGGGATAAGGTCAGAAGGGCCACAGCACCTTCTTCATCCAAACTAATCGTGTGATCTTGTGATGAATGGTTCCGATAAAGAAAGCTCATTGGCCCAATTGATCTCATCCTTCCAGAATACTCACCCTACCATTTTCCACTTACGGTATCCAGTTGACTTTAAATTAATCCGGTGTCATGTTTTCAGTTGCCTTTCCCATTGACTTCTTTCCAATTTCTGAATGCTGACTAGATGGTTTCATTCATTGTCCGTATTGGACAACACAGTGAGCTATGATAGTTGGCTTCACAAGAGAGGTTCAGGAGAAAAAGACCCTTTGGCCCATTTTATCCATGGGGAGTGGGGTGGGGGGGGGTTGGTTTATATTTTTCAATGTTATCTCTTTCGAATGTTTGAAGGAGACAAATTCCTGGTCTGCACTGAGTTAGATGATCTCATTCAAGCTAACATTCGGGTGGTGTTCTTGGCCTTATTGGCCCTAATAACAATAATAATAATAACACTTGCATTTGATATGGCTCCTTATCACATCTTCAAGACATCTCTAAGCGCTTCACACAAAATCTAGCTGTGTGAATTCATTGTATTTTGTGGGCAAAGCACAACAGCCAGTTGCGCGCAGCAGAGTCCCACAGACAGCTGTGGATTGAGTGGATTATCATTATTTTTCTCTGAAGGAATTATTACCCCCGGAAAAGCGATCCGCCAATCGACTGGCAACTGGTTCCTACTTTACTGCTAGGTACAGAGAGGCGTGTGGAGGAAGGAAACCTGCCCAACGTTTCGCCCTGCTCGGGAATAGAACCCAGCTCCTCTCGCTCTCGAGGCAAGTGCTCTAACCACTGAGCTGCAGGACTAAGTCAGGGAAGGAAAACTCAGCCAGAGTTTCCACTATCAGGTCCCATCAAATGACCACAGGCTGTGGTTCGGGTTGGGTTCAGATTGCTGTCTGAATTCGATGGCTGATGAGATGTTGGTTACAGATAGAAATCTCTTGATATCTACTTTCACCCTGCTCGTGTGTGGGCTACCACAACTGGATATTTTTAAATATGTTCTTTTTGCACAGGTTCTCTAAGGGATTGTGATCTGTACTTGCTGTTCCTTCATTGGACTTGGCCGAGTTGCCTGCCGACCCGCAAAAAATGGCCACTTGGGAAGAAACTGGAGGAATGACCAGTATCCACCGTGGGGTAACAGTGCCCCAAACTTAGTGTTTTTAAGGAAAGAAGGGGACGAAAAAAATGAGACAAAGCAGCTCAAAGGAAATAATTGGCGTTGCCTAGAATTTCATTGAATGATATGACATGTGGTTTCATTGGACTCTGCCAGTGTTTATACGCTACGCAAGCCTCAACCCTCCAAAGTATCCTCCCTCGTGTATGGGTCAAGTATCCTCTTAAATAAACCATATGAAATACTAGTTGATTGGTCCAAGGAGAACCTACCCACAGCGCCACACACTTACACACACACACACACATACAATAATGTCCAATGAAGAAACAACATCTTACATTGATATAGGGCCCTTCATGTAGATAACATCTTTGAGTCCTTCTCAGTGGTTGGATGCTGAGCAAGAGGGAGGGGGGAATTGACCATAGGTGCTGTTGAAGAGGTAGGTTTTAAGGTGGGATTTAAAGATAAATGGGGGGGAGGTGGAGGAGTGTAAGGAAGCGGTTGCAGAAATTAGTGCCGTTAGTGTGTGACACTGACCTTTCAATCCATGACTGTTTGTGGGACATTGCTGTGCGCAATTGGCTGCTGCGTTCGCCCACAAATATACAGTCAATTCACTTTACAGTATATTCTGTGAAGCGCTTTGGAACGTCTCGAAGACGTGAAAAGCGCTGTATCAAATGCAAGGATTATTATTATTATTATAAATGGTGGTGTGGAGTGGGCCAGGTGCATACAACAAGTTCATAGTAAATAATAATCTGTACGCCTTTTATGTTGGGAGGACGTCCCAAAGTGTTTCTTAGGATACACTATGAAGCGCAGTGACTCTCTGTTTTGTGAGCGAACGACACAGGAGGCAGTAAAGATAGTGAATTAAATAAATGACCAATTTTCTCTGGGGAATTGCCGGCCAGAACACTGGGAGAAACTCGCTCTTCGAATGGTGCCACGGTATCTTTAACGTCAACCTGAATAGGCAGATGCGACCATTATTTAACATCTCATTGGGTGCATGCTTGCTGAAAATAGATAGAAGATACCCAATTTCTCACTTGCTGCCCTCCCTCACTGCCTTCAGAACTTGACACTAGACTTTGTTTTTGTGTGCTTATTCTCTATCTATTCCCCATTTGGGTAGTGACAATATTTCCAACTGATTTCAATCATTCTTATGCCAGTGAGGACAGATGGTGCTGTAGCACGATAGTTAAATGTTACTTTTCTCACCAGCTTTTAACAGTATTCACAGCCAAACATGACTCAGATTATTACCATTGAGCAGGAACTGGCATAAATTATCAGCCGCAAGAGAAAGCTGTTGCTTAATAGAAAAGATTGCATTATATTTTATCATACTTAGACTTAACTTTAGATTCTAAATTTATTGGGAAGTTTAAAAAGGCAGTGGCATTTTCTACTATATTCTAAACCCTCTCTGGAACCCCATCTCGGAGTCCCTCCAACTGGACCCCTTCCTCATCTTTTTCAAAGTCCGGCTCAGGATCTTCCTCTTTGACTGCGCCTTTGGTCACAGTAGTGTCGCACAAACAGTCGTGGATTGAAGTGACCAATTTATTGGTTTTTTTTGAAGGAATTATTACCCCTGGCAAAGTGATCCTCCAATCGACTAACAACCAGGTTCCTGCTTACTGCTGCTTATGACTTACTGCTGGGTAAACAGAGCCGTGTGGAATAAGGAAACTTGCCCAACATTTTGCCCTGCTGGGAATCAAACCCAGGTCTCTCGCTTGCGAGGCGAGCGCTCTAACCACTGAGCCACAGGACTCCACAGGATATATCCAAGGTAGCGTTTCTTCCTCTTCTGAAGGTGGAGATGTCAGGCTGTGGTATGTTTCCCCGAGTGTTGTTGGCCAAACAGCCATTCCTCTTATTTCAACCTCAATAGGTGCAAAGCAATCCAGCCGTGAGGAAGGGTAGGATATCAGAGACAAGCCCACTCTTGTCATCATGTCATCTTGTCACTCCTTGGCACATGTCCAGTTTCCAGCAGGGATCATACATCAAATTATTTGTCACAAATGAACTAATGCTGAAATTATGCAAGTGCTCGTTTTGCGAATGTCCTCCAGGGCATAATTCTGTAAACTTCTGTCCGTACTTAAATGTTAGCCCATACATAATCCATCCACTAATCTAAGTCAGTCATTAGAATTGCTGTGATTGCAAAACATTCACTCAATGTTTTTTTGGAATAGTATACGAAACATTCAGTAAGCGGGTTATTTTTAAGGTTGCGTAGCTCTCCTCTTACTTTTAATTTGCTTTGAGAAAACTTTGAATTATCATACTTTTCTTTTGGTCAACCAGGTGTCTGACACACTGCGGAAAGCCAACACCATGCTTAAGAGTATCCAAACCAAACAGAGTTCCATGTATGCTACCTACACATGGAAATTCTCATGTTTAGAATGGAATGTGAACTCTCTCTCTCCCCGGAGGTATACACCCTGATTACCTAATTCTAGAGAGTATTAGGCGCAGGTTGTCAAGAGTCATCTTTCTTATACACCATCTAACGAGATGGTTTTCCTGTTGGAAAATTCCCTCAGGCCACAAGCCATCTGTAATAACAATTACATTCTGATATAATGTGTTTCACACCGAGAGGACACCTCAAAGCGCTTCACAGTGATTATGTTATATTATATTAGCTTCGTGATGATATTTTTTAGGCAAATCTACACATGTGCAGACTTAACACAAGTTTTGAAAGTATACTCCTTGACAATACTCCTTGACATGTTGAATTTGAAAGCCCACCCTTAAAATAAGTTTATTTTGAATATTTGACAAATAACATGAAACTCAAAGACCTACATTGTATAATCAGAATGCCACAGTGTTAATCGTTGAATGCGAGAGAAAGACTTTTGCTTGACACCTACCTACGGAGTATTCTCTATTGCGTAGCAGTCCCTGTTCCTAACATTTCCTGATATGTGTACAATGTTAATTCCAATATTAACAAGCTTTAAAAGAGTTCAGAAAGGAACAACTGTCTATAAATATGCAAAGGCACAGAACCTCTCAACCTCCTACTGTTCAGGTTGTAAAACCTGGTACACATAAATATGAATGCTGCAGAGTATCTGTAAATAGTTAGACACAGTGCGCCAGAATTACAATATATTTCTGTCAACAAACTGTGCTAAGCAGCTTGGAAAGATAAAACGGCAATTAATTATTGAGTGAATTTTGTATGCTTCTTTTCTTTTTTTTTCACAGATTAATTGATAAAGCAAAGCTTCTTATACACATTGATCCGGGGGCCTTCAGAAATCTTCCACGCCTAAGATACCTGTGAGAGAAGTTCATTATTTATATATGTTTGTCTCGGAATAATAAAGGGGTCTTGTCGCCACTGCATCACGCGGTGTCTTAAATCACTATGTCATTGCTGGCGTTAAAGGCAGATTTAATCTTTAGAATAAATGTTGAAGCTCCTTTTGCTAGTAGATTTGTTTCACAGCGAGAACAAGAGGGAAGCTGCACATTACCAGGCTTTGGCAGCCGTACTTAAAAGCCTCCTCAAACATTGTAAAGTTAAGCCGAATGTCTCATCTTAGGCATTCTGCCCGGAGACCAATTTACATTATGGAAATAGCCGATTCATAAAGATAATGAGATAAAGTGTCAGCTCGATTTTAACACTGCCAATTTATTCCCGCGAATATCAGGATTTTTTTTTTCGGATCGGAAAGCATGAGACCTGTATGAAATACTGTGAAGTCTACATGCATTGGAGCAAATCGTATGTTGCTTAAATCTTTTTATATACAATTCAGGTGCGCTGTAGCACGCTTCACAACACTATGAATTCCCTTACAATGCACAATGTGGACTGCGTTCATTGTCCGTGGGCACAGACAGCCTCTCGATTGCTCACTAAAATGGCCAACTTCCAGATCGGTGGCTCATGTTGGCTTCACCCTCTCCATTCTGGTACGTGCAAGGAAGAAACAAGGAAGTGACGTGGCGGTGACCCACCCATCCATCCGGAAATCCGCTCGTCATTTCCTTCAGCCTTCCGTACGCGCACACGAGCAGTAAACCTTGCTAACACTGCTCGCTTTAACAAGGTCTGCGATTTTAATCGATCACAAGCACCGCATTATAACAGGACCATGTTATGGTCTCCTTCTCGTAGGATCCCTATTGAAATACATAGCCATGCAACAGAAATCATGGTTCAGCGAGGTTTCAGAGAGAGCTTTCCACAAATTGTTGCCCCTAAATCGTTTGGAAGAACATCGTTTGAATTTCAAAACGCAATTGCTTGAAAGATGCGTTATTTAACCGATTGAATGCGACATCTCCTGATCCATATTAATGATTCTCCTCAGATAGGCAGGGAATAGAAAGCAAGAATATAGTTTGTTAATGAATTGGCAGTAGCCTAAAAAAAAAGAGCTTACTTTCGAAGATCCCGAGCAGGTAAAAGTGCTAAAGAATTAGCGGCATAATTGATATTTTATTTTTATTTCTATGTATTTTGATTATTTTTGGGGGGGGGCAAAGGGGGATTTTATTACTAGGATTAGTTTTGCATTTAAAGTTACACTAATCATGAACATCTTAATAGATTCAATTGATCAATTTGTACAATACATGTAAATATTTATATTATTACCAGTTGTTTTCCATAAAATGTGCCCTGTAATGAGAATCAGTCACCATCTGCCACTGAAGCATAATGCTGTACTCACTAATCGGCTTGATAGATTTGTGGAAACATTTCGTAGGCACATGAAAATCACAACAACAAAATATCTGGGAAGAATTTCTTTTTCACCAATCCTATCAAAAGAAAAACCCGTTTGAAGTTTCTCACCTCTGATCGACAGTCCTACCTTTCTTTAAGCAAAACTGGATCGATTAAATTCCCTAACGTTTGCCCTCCATGCGTGAATTCTCTGTGTTTCCATCAGAACATTCCCTTCATATCTCTACCGCAAACAAGGAATGTACCGTCAGTCGGCATAATACAGGGTGCGTGACTTGCGCAAACTCTTAGGTGCATTATTTTACGATTCATTTAGGCGTCCTTTTTTTTTAAAAGCGCACCAAAGAAAAGTTTGTGTAAATGTACTGGATCATAACAGACTTGGTTGTAATTCAGGCTCGCTTCTAGATTGACGTGTGGAGCCCTATATTTACTTACCCCACAAATTCAAGTACCGTTTGGCCCAACTAGTCTGTGCTGATGTCTATACTCCACTTGAGCCTCACCGCTCCCACTTCCTTCACCTCATCTCCTATATTCCCTTCTCAAAGAGAAAAAGCGACACCCCCCACCCCCCCACCCCCCAAAAGGGGACGATGGGGCCCATGGTAAATAAGAGACTAAGGTGAATAATATTTATATTAGATGAATTACATTGGTTTTCCATTATTGTTCAGGATAATTGGTTTCGTTATTGCTTTCATTACTGCTTTGAACATTCCTTAATTCATTGCTAAACTCAACTTCTTATACAGTCGTGGTGTTTGAAGAGCAGCAATGTATCTAAGAGAGAACCCGATGCATACAGCAACAACTGTAGCTTGCATTTATATAGCGTTCCTCACGCAGAGTAACCTCCCAGAGTGCTTGAGGGAGAAGTGAATAGAGGTGTACGGGAGAGGGGTAGAGACTGCTATGGAGTATAAACACAGCCATGGACCAGTTGGGCTAAGTGGCCTGTCTCTCTTCTGTGTAATTCTGCTGAATGACTATCGCATTAAATTGGGTTGCCTCGTTCTTACACTTGCTTAATGAAGTGGAGTCTTAGGGATGGAAAACCTTCTTCATTCGTGTGAAAGAAAAATGCAGTAAGTAAAGCATCTGATGGGTGCCAGAGCAGTGCCTGAATCCAAATTCAACCTGGCCAACTTCAGGCTAATCGAGGCTTCCCGAGAAGGCCTGGGATTTAGAAGCATTCATACCTGTTTTCATGGGTTTCAAGATCTGAAGATATTTAGCCAGCTGGTTACTTGGACACAGCTGCTCAGACTGAAATGCTCTCGAGAGGAGAGGAGCTTCAAATAAACATTCAGACAGCATGGCAAATAGAGCTGGGCTTTTGAAGAATCCGTAATGAGAAACAATTTGAAATCTGTAGCTCGGACCTCTCTGCTAAGAGAAACTCGTGTGCTGAAGGGCACCCGTATGAAGACAGGTTCCGAATCATCGAATCGTGCATCAAAGAAGTTCCAAAACCTAAGCTCTTCGATTGTTAATTAACCCAACCATTAAAGTCCACAACAATTCAAATTGTTGGAACTTGGATCAGAATGGTTCCACAGGAGCTTAGGGGGAAGGGGTTAAAGTGGGACATCTGAGACCAGACCCCAAACAATCATAGGGAAATAGGGAAAATACCTATGAGAAAGCCTCTTGGACCACTCTATCATGAAAAGACCTTGATGGAAGGTTTGCATACCTGGGCTAGTATGGGGCAATGATTTTCATTTATTTCAGGAATGCACAATAATCCAGGGAGGTGAACTAAAACTGATGGAGTATGAGGGAGAGGACATATTTTTCCTTCCATATACCCTTTGGTTCCAGGGAAGGCGCCCTGATAGGCGAAGCAACCAGGGACATCTCAGGGCTTCCTTCCTGGTGAAGTAGGCTAACATCAATCGATTATCAGAAAGATCCCTTCTGCTGACCATTAAGAAGGCGTCGAAGAAGGAAAAGATTAAAGAGCGGGTGGGCTTTCAGGCATTCTGACCCTGTTCGCTGGAATTCCATCCCAAAGTCAAGTCCCTCCACCTCATCCCCTCTCTCCCCTCTTTCAAGGCAGATTTCAAGACCGCGCTTTCAGCCATCTTTCCCCTCCTCAACTCCCGCCCCCTACTTCTCCCCCTTAGCTCCCAGCAACAGCTCAGTTTCCCATTCAGCCCTGTGAAGGACTTTGAGACGTCCTCCAGACACGAACGACGCTACAGAAATGTAAATTGTATTGCATTGTATTGCATTGTACCAATTTGACAATTCTTGAATTCAGTTTTAACTCTGAAGCTTGTTTTCCGTGGTTCTTAAAAGGACTTACAGAAAGCTGGCATCAAAATTAAGTGGTACTGCATTTTAGGAGTTTGACAAATCGTGGACGTTCTGAAAGGCTCCGTCACTGGAGTAAATCCAAGCCCAGTGGGAATTTCGACCCAGTCCCTGGTAGCCGATAAAGTTCAGATGTAAATTATTTTTCAAGGAGCTCCATCAAGCTCTATTGTAAACTGAATAGTCGTGTTATAAATCGATAACTATAACTTACAAACGATTAAAAAGCAGATCCCACAATTCCCTAGTAAAGCCCTGATTCTTTGGGCTGCTATTTAAATCTCAATGCGTTAATCACACAGATTTTGGAACTATCTTCAAAAACCATTGTGTTACTTATGCGGTCGCTCTGTGCTTTAATCAGCTCTGCCTTTTCCCCACTGAAGCAAAGAATCAGCATAATAACATGCTGTGCCTGTACTGAAGCTGAAATGAAAGAACAATAGATTGGAAATAAATAATTTACGAAATGGTTTCCTGAATAATTAAGCCACAGACATTTTATTCTGGAACGTATCTGGTTTAACTCTGTTCCTAATCTGCTGTCTTTTTTTCTTCACAGGTCCGTTGCAAACACCGGAATAAGGTTTTTCCCCGATGTCACAAAAATACACTCTAATGATCTTTTCCTTCTGTAAGTTTTTTTGGATCATTTTCTGTTCGATTAAGGGGGGTATTGATAATACACGTATTTGTTTGAATAACATTTCAAAGTTATTTCTCACCGTATTTCCTGCTTAAATCTTTTTTTCCTTTTTTTTTTCCTGTCTCGCTCTTGTTCGTTGAGACACAGACCTTTTACTTACTCCTCCCTGCGTCCTCGCCATATTGAAATCAAAACTAACTGTATCTTCTCCCAACTCTATAACTCATTCATGATTGTGGAAATGCTCAGTTTTCTCTGTTTTTCCTTTCTCCTATCATCTAACGGGCTTTTATTCAAATGGAAGTTAGGCATCGCTGAACAAGTTTCTTTGACTTATCTCACCCTCTCTCCTGCTCCTTGTAAACATGTAGGTGTTCTGCACTATGAGCCCTTTGCCCTTCATGAATAAATTTGTGGCTGATTATGTATTGGAACTGTCGAGCTCGTGAGTGCTCAACCACCCGGAGCTTTGAAGGAACATTTGCTTAGTGGTACTTAATAGCATTAAAAAAAAACACCGATTTCGTGCAAGTGGAGTTCAGGGTGTGCACAGAACTCAGACAAAGGGTACTTGATTGTGGATAAGTCGAATTGGTTGTGAGGTGGCAAGGACAGTTGTAAACTAGACTTAAAGAGGCTTTACTCTGAACACACTGGCTTTGCTGCCAACGATATAAACATAGCACAATAGTCCTCTTCGACGGAGCAGATAATAAAGAAACTGGTTTTAGCCTCTTTCACGCACCCTCTCCTCGCTGGGTGGGAACACCCGGGAAACTCGCTGGGAATTTCCTAAACCTACCAGACTATAGCTGCTCACACTAAGAGATTTCTAATGCTATGATTTTTATGGGAAAGGTTTCGAGACGAGCTACCGAACTCATGGAAATATAATAGAGTGCTTTTGGTTGCAAAAGTAGGTTTAGACTGTCGACCTCTAATTCAGTTGAGAAGAAATGGGCGAGACACACTGATTGACAAAAAAAAAGGAGCCCGAAATTCCGCACGGTACATTTTGCGATGGCGGTGACAATGTGTGATGGGATTTGTGGAGGTTTTGAAATAATTATAATTGTAATTACATGCATATCGAAAATTCAATTCATTTGAAAATTGGACCGCATTAAATGCTTAGTTACGGCTCAATCCTAGACTTCAGAAGTTGTAGAACCTCTTCACTATTTTACGGGTACTTTGTTGCCGGTAAACATGGGTGGAAGGTCACCTAAAAGTGCCAGTGTTTGGAATTCAATTACAATCTGCTGGCAGTAACTGAAATTGGCCATAGATTTTTTTTCTTCTCAATTAAGACCCTGTCGAAGTGAACATCTGGTACACCTCATTGTCATGGAGAGTGGCTGCGACAATTAGGCAACTAGTTTGATCTGCTGCATTTACGGGCGTATCACCTTGACTTGTCAATATCTGCTGCCTCAAGAAGTGGCCTGTTTACGTGGCAGATACTAAGTGCATACGCATACGAGATGTACTGCTTCGACGACCCCCTTAGGGCAAATTTCTAAGCAAATTTGGCACGTCATTAATTTTCGACCGCGAATGCTATTTTGTTGATACAGTAGTCGTTGGGTTACTATGTATAGCTCATTGCTGCTCAAATATATAAGTAGTGACATGGCCAAATTCTGAAAACTTCTGACAATGGACTAGATAGTAAAGAAGATAGTTGTTTTATCCGGGTGAACATGATCTGTACAAATGAGGCTCTTCAGGACCCTGCGTATCGTATTGTATACTTCAGCCATTGAGGGATACAGAGCTGAAACTTGCGCTCGAAGGCGTCTAGGCTGGAATATCAAACTCAGACACAAACACCCGGCTTTGATGGCCACCTCGAGATTCTACGATACAACCTGAAAACGTTGCACTGGGTAGAGGGGCAAAATCGAAGCCGAGACTGTCGATACTGGGACAATTCATGGAGACGATGTCCAAGTTATAAACCAATGTCACGGCTCTAAACATCTCCTACCTGTTGCGTAAAGATCTGGAGCCTGTGCTAGAGAATGCAAAGGTAAAGAAATGTCTGCGTTCGGCTTTCGCCTTGAAAGCTTTCGCTGCAAAGAAAGACTTGTCAACTTCCAACATTGCGCCAGTAAAATGTTGATGATCCTTGCATTGAAAACAGTGGCAGAAGGTGATTCAGAGCAGCAGACAGACCATGGTGCTGAGGATAGTGTGAATGAGCAAGAAAGCCATTCACTCAAGACAGATTAAATGAGTTGGTTTCAATTTTCCATCTATCATTGAAATTTATGTTTCACTGCAACCTATATTGTCAGAAGAAAGCCTTCCTTGGCTCTTTTGTAAGAGAGCTTCAAATGACCACAATCGACCTCACAGAAAATACAGGGTAAAGGAACATCGAGAATACTTTTGTTCTGCTGGTGCAACTTGGAATGATACATCAAAAGCCTTCATCCTCAATCTTTTTGATCTATTGAGACCTTGCAGAGGAGCTGGACATGCACGTTTACTGTTGCAAAGTGATAACGTGGAAAATTATCCGTGGTTGTAAATGCAATGAAACTTTCATATAGTGGTAGTTCTCTTAATTGTAGTCTTATTGGCATACATATAGTCTATTTAAATTGCTGCTTGTACTTGTTAAAGTGTAGGCCCCAAGTTAAGCAATGCTGAAAATAAAGGTTAATTGGGATTCTAAAGGCATTCTTTACAGTATATTACATTCACTTTACAGTATATTCTGTGAAGCGCTTTGAGACGTCTCGAAGACGTGAAAAGCGCTATATCAAATGCAAGGATTATTATTATTATTCTGTACTGATCACTTCCTTGTGAACCAGGGCTTTGACTTTGACGTGGTATAAATAAGTTATTTTCTTGTGCGAATGTTGGTACAGCACGCAAGCGGGGACGGTTTATTGCATTTCGTTGGTTTAATCATGGCTTTCGCTTGTCGTATTGAAGGAAAATAAGGGATAATAAGGATTAGTAGCCCAGATAGTGTTGTGGATAAAGCTTCAGTTTGCAGACCAGCAGCACAGGGACGGGAAACAGCTAGAGTTCCTGTTACATCTTCAGCACCCTCTTTTATACTGGTTGTGAGTGTGCGTGGCAGTCGGGGGAGAAGACTATGTATATGTAGGCCATGGCATAGAGCACGCAGAGTGACACTTGACACAGGCTAAAGGGAAAACTGGCTTGCTTAACTTTCTAAACTTTCAGATGAGATGAGGCTGGGTCCAATCAGCCGGTCCAGGTGGATGTGGATCCCATGGCACTCTTTGAAAAGAGAAGGGAGTTCCTCCTGGCGTCCTGGCCAACAATCCTCGAAATAAAATTGGTCACTCGCTCTATGGCTATTTTTGCGACATTTCCCGTGAACCACTTTGTGTTATCTCGACGATGTGACAAGAACGCTACACCAGATAGAATTATAATTATTATTGTTATTATTATTATTATTATCATGAAAGTGCCATATGAGCAGCAGCTCCAGGTTTCTCCAGTTTCTCCAGTCCAGGTCATGAAGCTGGGACTCTACGAATGTGGCTGTTGAATGCAAGGATTTTAGGGTGAAAGATTTAAGTGCCACATTTATTTTGGCGATAAGCAAATCCACCCTCCTCTTGGAGCTTTACAATGCTCATGCCATGTACCAGCACACTACAGTCACTGCTAAGACCTTTGCCCACGTACGCTGACTCTCTTGAATGTGAACTCACCGGAGTAATGATTTTGACGGTCTGGATTTATAACGAAATGACAGTGAAATTACAAGTGCACATCACCAAAATAGGTACAGCTGAATAGGAAATGGTATCTGTATCTGCCTTATCTGTTTGCAAGCTGCTGATCAGCATTTTTCTTTGAACACAATCGTAATATAAGATAAATATTTTCGTCTTGAAATATTCCTTAAAAGCAAGCTTAGCTGAGCTTTAATACATGCAGTAATGAGCATCCTCTGTGCATCGAGAGATTAAGTCAAGGCCAGTTAGTCCTGAGTTTGAAATCATGGCAGAAATAGTGTACAGGTAATGCTCCCATGTTTTGGTTAAGGAATGTGGACTTTGGACTTTCACTACAAGTGGTTTCTCATTGAAATATAAGTCTAAACGGTAAAAAGTGCAGTAAAACATTGGGCACACAATGGCCTCACTCTGTGACCGAACTGCTAATGCAGAAGCTTTTGATCTGCGTTCACCAATCAATAATTTCTTCTCCTGCTGAGGCTATTAAATTGATGGTAGAAATGGAAGATAAAATATGCATTGGTTTTAATGAAAGTGTGCGCACTGCGCGCTAAGCAAAATAGACAGTAATATAGTCCATTTCTTGCAGGGAATTTCAGGACAACATAAATATGCAAATCATACCTTCTTATGCATTCCAAGGATTAAGCACTGGAAAATTAAATATGTAAGTACATAACTACTAATTCGGTCGGACAATTCTGCATCCGATCTTATTGGAATCGTTAGATCTGAAGTTAAAGCAAAATGGATTGGAGTGCCACACTCATTAACTGCAAAAAGCACAAGCAAATCTGTTTTTTTATGCATAGTTTGTTGCATAAACCATTTTGAATATCAAATCAGATGGCAATGTATATAATTTTAACCTGTAGCCTCGGTTGCTGTGTGCGGAATAAATATCAAAGCATATAGCAGCAGGCAACACAAGCGTCTAACAAATCTTCCTTTATTTTTAAACACAGAAAGCTGATAAACAATGGACTTATAGAAGTACGAAGTCATGCATTCAACGGGACAGATTTAAATTATCTGTAAGTTGTCGGTTTATTTCCGTCTTAACAGTCTTTTTTTATCGTTGTCTTGCTGCCAGCCATTGATAGCAGTTAACGTTCAAAACCCCGGTGAGTGGTATTGTGACAGTCCAGAATCCTAATAAGATTCTCTTGTGTCCCCAACAGCAATCTTACAGGCAATGAGAATCTCCAACAAGTGCATGAGGATGTTTTCATGGGAGCAATGGGACCAACTGTTCTGTAAGTGAAAGGGTTAATACCCTACGCAGCGATCTGTGCAGAAGTGATGTAAATATATATATATACACTGACAGAACTCTTGTGCATTATTAAACAATAAGGGAAGGAGAAGTAATTTTTTGATTGAAAATGAACCGTGGAATGGCTTTTGGATGGATTATTTCTGAAACACAATATGATTTTATTTATTCCACGAGCCAAACTCTTCCATTTTTAACCCCCCACCCAGCCCCCTAAACTGCACACTTGCCCACAAAACATACAGTCAATTCACTTTACAGTCTATTCCTGTGAAGCGCTTTGAGACGTCTGGAAGACGTGATAAGGCGCTATATCAAATGCGAGGATTATTATTATTATTATTATCATCATCCACGTCTACTCCACTGCCCTTGGTGCACCAATTTATTCCACCACTGAGCTGCAATGTGCTTTGAAACATTTAGGTTATCAACCCTGCCTGTCCTTATTTGTTGGCGTTCAAAAGTGATGGCGGTCAAAACCGGAGATTAAATGGTTCCCTGCCCCCAAAAGACCTTTTAAACTAATAAGTTCATGTCCTGCAGTGAACCCCATGTAAGTAAGTCACGCTGATCCCTGGAAACTCAGCTCCGAGGTGATCTCAGGTCAGAGACTGATTAAAAGATGTGTCAGAGGAGACCTTACAGAGGTGTATCTTAAAACGTTTAAAAGGGATTGAAAAAGGAAACCCAGAACAATACTTTAGAACAAGAGGAGATAACGTTTGCAACTACTGCGACGTAACTGTTTTGCTCTAAGCAGCTACGCTGCTGATAATTATTTACGAACATTTCTTTCGGGCCACCTGGTCATGCAAACAAATTCCTTTATCAAAGACACCAGTAAGGAACGTGTGTCCCTCGATGTCAAAACAGCAGAAGGAAAGGACATGGATTTAAAATTCCAAAGGGCAATTTTCAGATAGACACAAGGACATTTCTCTTTACCCAGAGGGTAATTAATGACTGGAATGGGTTGCCGTGAGGGGTGGTTGTGGCTAGTAGGCTTAAGAGGCAGTTTGATTCTGTAATGAGAGTGGGTAGAGTGAGTATTCTGGAGCGATGAGGTCAATGGAGCCAAGGGCTTTCTTCAACCAAACCAATCTTATGTTCTTGTTAAGAGCTGGTGTGATGTATATTGGCTTTCCTGAAGGCGACAACCTTTATGACCCAGAGAACCATTCACAACACACCATTCCCAATGAGTATTTCTTCAGCCCCGGTGACATAAATGTTTTGTTGCTGATACTTATATAGAAGCATGTTTTTCAGCAACCCAGTCGGGCGAACAAAATACTTTATCAAAGGCACAAACACATAATATATGATAGTTGGCAATTTGCTGTCAAAAGCTCAACAGGACAGACAAAGCACAGAAGTTATACAGCCACAAATTTACAACACTTCAAATCGAAGTATCCTTTCATGTAGATAGATGCCTTCTATTGCACTGTGCTTATTAATTCTCTCCCACTGATCAGGAAAAATATGGGTTTCTCCATTCTCGTACCATGTAGTCAGTCAGATAATTGAAAGATGATCTAGTATTGAGGAAGTAAGCTGGAAATTTATCAGCGTAATATGGAAAGGGCCTGTAAATGGGACTGAAAGGATTGCTCTTAAAAGAGCTACCAGAGAATAATGTGCCAAAAATGGCCTTCTCTGTGCTGTAAATTTCTATGATTCTGGAGTTGCAGAAATTGAAGAGTCATTTTTTACAGCAAACCATGTGAGTGCGATTGATACGGCTAACACTCTTTCAAGTTAATTTAAGGTGGCACCACGTGATCTTGCTGAGAATGGGTTTACTTCCCTTTGCCAAATCATTTTTCAGAATATCCCGATCAGTAGAGGCCACAAGATCACAAAATTAGTAGGGCACTTGAATTACTAGCTCTAAAATGTATAATATATGAAACGTTCAGGTAAACACATCACTTATTTTCAATCCTCTTGCTTTCAATTTGCTATGAGAGAACTCTTCAATTAGGATATTCCTTTATTTTTTATCAATCGGGTGGAAACAATAACAACAACAATAAGATTCCATTTATAGAGCGCCTTTCACGTCAGGAGGACGTCCCAAGGCGCTGTACAGTTGGGTCAGGACCCGAGCAGTGGGGGGAAATGGTCAGGGTGAGGGGAGGGAAGTGAGGGAGCGAGGAGGGGGTAGAGAGTCGAGAGGGGAAGCTGAAGGCTCGGTCAAAGAGAAACACTAGGCTTAAGCGTGTCCGAACCAGACTGAGATTTCCACATATGTAACCTATCTACACGTGGAAACTGCCTGTGTCTGGAATGGAATGTACTCTCTTTCCTTTAAGCAATGGCCTCTGGTTTCCTAATTCTGGATATTATATCAAATTCAATGTGTGTAGGTCATACTGTACGATATTCTTCCAATATGATTATCTTGAAAACATTCCATTTTGAGCCCTCATTTAATAAGGCTGACGGTTTTAATCGATAGACTTGCAATATGAGCCAGCCCGTTCGGGTCTCTTCCAGCAGTCTCTGCAAATTTGAAGCGAAGGAAAAACAAGCATCGAGATGCAAACTGTGCGATTCTACAAACCCTTCGTTATGACAGAACATCCTTTGTTCAAATTGTAGAAAAACCGTAGTTAAGCTGCATTTCTACTTTCAACAGCAAAGTCAGTTGCTCTCAAGAGCTAATATCACATGATATGTCCATGTTAAATATGGTATAGTAAGTAAACAGGGTGCATTCCACTTCACACACAGGAAAGGCTTACGTATGTGTGGAACTTTGTCCGGTTTGGATACTCCTAAGCATGGTGCTAGGCTCCTGCATGTGTCAGATACCTGGCTGACCAAAAGAAAAAGAATATTGCAATTGAAGAGTTCTCTCAAAGCAAATTTCAGAGCTAGTACTCTCGGGGTGTAGAGCAGCAAGCCTGGTTTAGACCTCTCACTCGAGATCACTTCGAGTCAGGGTTGATAACGTTAAATACCAAATTCTGGCATTCTTATTATAATTAATAAGTATTGTAGTGATGATACATTTACCTCTCTGATAGCTGTCTCTCTTAAACTGCTGATAGTTTGTACCATGCAGAGGGTAATTCCTTTAAAAAATAATAATAATAAATTGGTCACTTCAATACACGTCCAGACCGTGCACAATTGGCTGCCACGTTTCGCCCACAAATATGCAATCAATTCACTTTACAGTAAATTCTGTGAAGCGCTTTGAGACGTCTCGAAGACTTGATAAGGCGCGATAGCAAATGCAAGGATTATTATATTATCATGTTGGATCAAGTGTTACTCATCTCTCCCTATGCCCCAATGCAACTCTTTTCAGTTTTCTATTGTGTTAGCGTTTGGCTAATGTTTTGCAGTTGGGTGAGTAAAGTCACTGTTTCACAGACTGTAAATTCTTAACGTTCAGAACAGCCAAGGAATATATTATATATACATATACGCACTGAATCTAATCTAATGCCTTCTCAATTATTTGTGTGGAAATGCTTCAAGCGTTAAAGCCCAAGTAAAAATACAGTATGTCCTTCGGTATAAAAATAATCTACTCAAATTGTACAATAACAAATGTTTGATACTTGACGGAGAGTGGAAGCAACAATCACAAAAGCTATGAAGAGAATAACATTCTTACTGTTTTATTCAGGGATATCTCCAGAACTGCTGTTACTGCACTACCACGCTATGGCCTGAAGTATATTAAGAAGCTCATAGCGCAATCTACAAACAATTTGAAAATGTTACCGCCATTAGAGAACTTTGTTGAACTAAGAGAGGCCAGCATGACTTATCCCAGCCACTGCTGTGCTTTTGAAAAGGCCAAGAAACAGGAGTGAGTACTGTTTGTCTTGTGGTCGTAATAGATCCTTGTTTTTGATCTACAGAAGCTGCAAATACAAAAGTGAATGAAGCAAAAAAGCCCCAATGTATTTGAAAGAAAACTTGATCCATCCATGAGGGAGAAGGGAATAGAGAGGTTTCGGTGAGATACTGGAGAGAGGATGGGAAGGTGGTCTCATCTACAGTATAAACACCGGGTCTATAATGTGGAGACAGTATAGGAGAGTTATACTGGATGGTCGTGCCTTCATTTAAATGTACACGGACAAGGAACATAGCACGTGATTTAGGAATTGAACAACAAAATGATTTGAATACAGTATGAAATTACAATATTGAAGCTATCAGATCAATCAATCATAGCAACTCATATTTCTGGGAGATTTAAGGAAATGAATTGTATTTTGTCGCCTTTGTTTTTGGAATCAGGCCAGGCATCTTCTTTCGCTAAGAGCACGGAATAGAGATCGACTCAGTCCTCTGTTAATGCTGCTGTTAGCTGGCTCCCAGAAGGTGCATTGGAGGCATTATTTTTGTTCAGAGATGTCTTGACACGTGCGAAAACCCATCACCATGCCGAAGAGTATCCAGACCAGCCTGAGATTTCAATGCAAACCACCTGCACATGGATATTCCTGTGTCTAGAACGGAATGGGTACTCTCTCTCCCTGGAGGGATGCACCCTGCTTATCTAATTCTGGAGAGTATTAGGTGGCTTGGGGACCTCAGCGTGTGGAACTGAGGTACCGCTGAAGTTTAACCAGCTAAATATGGATCGCTTACAATAAGAGGTGGCTCAGAGCGATTCTGCATCTTTCCCAATCCCGCTTTTTGTTAACTGACACGTTATTCTGCCAAAATCTACCATAGGCTTTTCATTGGGTAAAAAAAAAATGAAGTATGCTCTTCATATATACTGTATATACTGTCTCAAATAAAAGGATATAGTCCAGGACGAGACGTTGGCAAGAGTTATTGAATTTTGTATTCGGCTTAATTGAGATAAACACTGACCTGGGTTGGGCTGATACGATCGAACACCTATCTCAGTAATGATTCTAAGAACCCAATGTTCTTGCCAATGAAAGGAGGGAAAAACAAAATTCCTTCATTCCGCACAGTGGGACTGGCAAGCAACCACTGTTTAGTAAAGTCGGCAGGCAGATTTGACTCATTTCAGCATCGTCGTAAGAAACTCTTACCATTTCTTTCTTGCAGATTGCAAAAATCTCCACTGTGTAACGTGCCCTACAACAAGGATCATGATTTCACCGACGCAAGCTCCTCCACCGAATCTGTGAACGGTTCCCAGCCTTCAAATAGGTCTTTGCAGCAAAACGCGTACCTTTACAACGAGGCGTGGTTTGGATTAAGCAAGGACGAACCCGTGTTTGACTACGGCCTCTGCTCGGAGACAGGAGAAGTGATCTGCAGTCCAAGCCCAGATGAATTCAATCCATGCGAAGATGTCCTGGGAAAAGACATCCTAAGAATCATAACCTGGTTGATGAACATCCTTGCTATCATTGGCAATGTCGTTGTCCTGGCTGTCTTATTGACCAGTCGATACAAACTCACGGTTCCACGGTTCCTCATGTGCAATCTTGCCTTTGCCGATTTTTGCATGGGCCTCTATTTGCTGCTTATCGCCTCCGTAGACATCCGCACCAAAAGCCAGTACTACAACTACGCGATCGACTGGCAGACCGGCGCAGGCTGTGCCTCGGCTGGCTTCTTTACCGTCTTCGCCAGCGAGCTCTCGGTCTACACGCTGACCGTGATCACCCTCGAAAGGTGGCACACAATCACGTACGCCATGCAGCTGGACAGAAAGCTCCAGCTGAGGCACGCCGCCGTGATCATGTTCGGGGGCTGGCTGTTTTCTTTTGTCGTCGCGCTGTTGCCTCTCGCGGGCATCAGCAACTACAAGAAGGTCAGCATCTGCCTCCCGATGGACATAAAGTCTCCAGTCTCTCAGGCCTACATTATTTTCATTTTGATGCTGAACGTCATTGCGTTTTTGATCATTTGTTTCTGCTACGTTAAGATCTACTTGACGGTCAGAAACCCCAACTTTATTTCCACCAATAGCGACGCAAAAATTGCCAAGCGTATGGCCGTGCTAATCTTCACGGATTTCATCTGCATGTCGCCCATCTCTTTCTTCTCCATTTCCGCAGCCATGAAAGTCCCCCTCATCACGGTGTCCAGCTCGAAGATTCTTCTGGTACTGTTCTACCCCATTAACTCCTGCGCAAACCCCTTCCTGTACGCTTTCTTCACAAAGCCTTTTCGACGGGATTTCTTCATCCTTTTGAGCAGGTTTGGCTACTGCGAAATGAAGGCGCAGCTTTACAGAACTGAAACCACGTCTTCAATTCACAACTCGCACATGAGAAACGGCGGGCAGGCTCCAAAGTCTAATCAAGGCTCAGTCTGCACAGAGCTCCTTGTAGCTAACACCGCAAAACAGCCTGCGGTCTGCAACTCCTGTTCTCAGAAGCCCCACCAAACATTTTCCGACGTCCGCGCGGGTAATCCGTAGCACGAATTAACGTAGCATGAAGATTTTCAGCGCCAAACGAATCATTTGCGGAGGGACTCTTGTTCCGTTTTGTTCAAATGCCGAGAGTTTCTGAGTCGACTGTTCGAGAAGGCCAGGGCTCCGAGCTCCCAAGCTAGCAAGGACCAAGTGCTCATTCAGTCCCCGCTAACCTGTGGCTCCACACACTGGAAATGAATCAGTGACTACACAGTTAAACCTGGTACTGTAACACGCTCCTGACTTAAAGGGCCCCAAAAATCTTGTGATTCTGAAGGACCCAGTTTGTGCAGCAAATGCTTTATGTGCTCTACAATTTCTACATTGAAGTTTGTTTCTCACTTTTCGAACCTTTCTTCAGAGTTTCCCAGTCTTATTTTAATGTATATATGAAAAAATAGTATCACTGTTGTACTGTGGGCATCTCGTATTTGATGGAGAGATTTTACGCCTGAGTATAAACTGCACCTTACATTTTATTGGAACGTGATTGTGTAAAACATAGTCTGTGCCAAGGACCCTATATTGAAACGGTCACCCACTTCCCTCGATAGTGATTTCTTAATGTCGAACCTTCCAAAACAATAACTTGCATTTATATAGTGCTCACAGGATGTCACGGCTTTGGATCGCTTTGTGATTTGTGACGAAACTGCTAATGATTTGTATCCTTAGTCTGTATTAGATTATCATTTGTTTCGTTCCAAAGGGATTTCCCATCTTGGTATGATACAATGCAATTTACATTTCACGTTGGGAGAATGTCTCAAAGTGTTTCACAGTGCGATGTATATGTCTCAGAGACAGGTAATATTGTAAGTTGATTTGGTGTCAAATTTTATATGATGTAAAAAAATTTTTTTTTAAATCTATACAGAATATGGTTCAGAAACATTACCCAAATACTGTACTCTTTCCTCTACTGAAAGGACAAGGGTTCTTTTTTGTAATAATCCATGAATGGAATTTGCTTGCATTACGATGTTAAGCTTGTTTGTATCTGTTGACTGGTTGACTTTGACTGGGGCAATGGATATAGTGGTCAAAATAAAGAATTTTACTGACTTTGAGATGAATCCATACAGCAATGTCACACAAAAAAATAATTGTAGCTTCTCAGTGGATTTTTAGTTTGGTATTGGCTGCTCGTGTCTGTGCAATGGATGCAGAAATTTCTTTTAGTCGCAGTAACATGTTACAGACACAGAAATAACCACCTGCCCAGTCTGGACAAGTCGTGTGCTCTACGACAGATTCTTGAGGTCTAGAAAAAGCATTCTGCAGTTTGACCCAATGGACTCAGGAGAGATTTATCCTCATTACGGTTGGGGGAAAAAATACTGGTGGCAGGCTTCAGCAGGTTGAAACCCGTAATGAGAGGAAATGGGTTTTGCCCTATGGCACCTTGCTAAATCTTAAAGCAACAGGTGTGGACAGCATTCATGTTAATTTACTGAAACCTTCTTTAAGGGAGGAGGAAGAGGTAGGTGAGGGTTTTTGCAAATCAGTACTGTTGGGAACCATCAACTGGTCTTGGAGCTGCCTTCTTAAAGCTAGTCAATAGGATCCTGATTGACACCATCCGTGTCATTTTAAGGTGATGCTTTGGGTTTGTCAGAGGTCCATCATTTAATTGGGAAGAGTGTGTGGTGCTCGTTGTGGCTTTATAATGGAAGTAAAAAACATTCCTTCCGTTTGATACAGCGCCTTGTAAAGTGAATTGACTGTGTATTTTGTGGGCGAAACGCGGCAGCCAGTTGCAAACAGCAGCGTCTCACAAACAATCGTGGATTCAGTGACCATTTTTTTTTAAGGAATTATTACCACCAGAAAAGCAATCCACCAATCGATTAACAACCGGGTTCCTACTTACTGCTAGGTAAACAGAGGTGCATGTGTGGAGTAAGGAAATTTGCCCGACATTTCGCCCTGCCCGGGAATCGAACCCAGGGCTCTCACTTGCGAGGCGAGTGCTCTAACCACTGGGCTCCACTGATGTGTCATAAGTCAATGTTGTAAGACATTGAGAATATATTAAGGCTCAGGCGAAACCCATCCATTGATTTCCATAAGGCATTTGACCTAGTGAGCCACAGCCAAAAATGACTGACAAGCCCTGCTCTCTTTCCACTCTAGAACTGGCAGATTCTTTGGAGCATTGACAGGTAACATCGCTTCTCTAGACAATGGTGCGAAGCTTGGTCAATACCTTGTTTATTTGTTAAAAACCAACAGTAAGTTCTCTTAACCAAAAAAAAAAATCTGTTTTAAATGCGGCACGGTCAGAAGCAGGAGGGCTCAAAGTGGGAAGGAAGCAGTCAAGTTGTTCACCAGCATGTTACCCACTGCATTCTCCTTCTGGTGAAGGTAAGGTTGGCTTTTCAGGAAGAGAGCAATACTGCAGACACAGTGATGTTATTGCATTCTCACTCATTCTACTAACTGCTGCACATTTCGCTTTGATGACTTCTCTTACTTCATCTCTCATACCCGTGAATGATGCCAGGATTTTTTCAATCACTTACTTTGCCAACCTTTCCCCTTTTCCTCTCCAAAAGTTACCTGATCCTTTGCTGGATTACGATTCCAAGCCATTTTTCATCTGTGAGTCCAGGCAGTAAATGTCACCTGGCTGTTTAACTGCACGTTAAACTTTAGAACAAATAGATGAGCCTACTTCTGCCTTGCTCAACTCATGTACTGTACTATCCTGTGTGTGTGTGGGGGGGGGGGGGGGGGAGGTGTAGGGCACTGATATACCCTATCCCAGGGAGCAATTATAACACAAATTACCCAACCAAGGTTTCCATCCAACCATTGAATAAATGATAGGAATGGGGGGAGGTTTGAAGTGAGTTCCGTTGCATCAAATACTCAAGGAGATTTTCCAGAAGATGTTACAACAGTGAATGTGCGTATATGAGAGAGATAGGCACACATGAATTCTTGATCTAGTCTTTCTACAGTCAGCAAACAGTCAATCTTCCCACTCTCATCTTGAGCTGAGTTTCCAAATCCCAAAGTGATGTTCCAATTGATTGAAGCTATAAACAGTTACTGTCAGATACATAGAAGTTCAATAGGTAATGCATAAAACCAGACTGATGACCTGCCCATGGGTGTTGACTGATCAGGAAATCCTTGATTGCCATGACAGTGAAAGGGTTTACATTGATGGTTCCAAAGGCACTGTGATACCAGCAGAGAGAATGTTTTATCTTTGTTGAATGAATTAACAACCGTTTCAATCTGCAGATTTTTTTGTGGGTTTCCCACCCCACATTGTCAAAAGATAACATTGGTCATTCACTTCATAGCTGTTTGTGGGACATTGGCACAAATTAGGTGCCGCATTTGTTATAAATACACAGTCACTACGCTTAACAGTAAAATCCTGTGAAGCACTTTGAGATTCATCAACGACATGATAAAGCACTATAGGAAATGCAAGCATTATTATATATATCCATGACTGATATTGGTCAATGACACATACTTAAATGGTGGTATCTCTTTTTGACCATCTTGTACATGTTGAGTTATTTGGGTCATGTTGTCAGATCCTATCCCAATATGGTGGGCGTTACTGTGATAGGTTGTGTCCAGTTACTCAGCATCAGTGAGCATTGCAGATTATTCAGTAAACCTCAAAGATAATGTGAGAAATAATGCAATACGGAAAATTAAGACCCCCACAAAAATAATCATGTAAATAGCCTGTATTGATGTCTTTATATGTCACTTGTACGTCCGCACCTCTTTGTGTCTGGGAACAGCCTAAACAGCACATGTTGTACCGTCTACACCTGAGGGCTTATTTCTTGTATTTTTTTTCTAGATTGTAACCCTTTGTGCACTGATTTAGCCTTTTTCAGTCAAGGAGCTTCTACAATCATAATTTTAATGAACGTGATCACCGAATATTGTAAGATAGAGTAATAATAAATAAGTAATCCTGCCTTTTGATTCACATATTTTGAATTAACTAAATTAATTTGAAATGCAAGAGCGTTTTTCATGCTGTGCAATGTCTCACCTTGTGCTCAAAAGGGTTTTGCAACTGTAGAGCAAGCTTTGCTTTGGATCTCAAGTAACTGTGCAATTTAAAGGAGCATTGCCATCTTGGTAAGGAGAGTTAGCATTTGGTCGCAGTCAAGAACAGTTTTAGATGTAACTTAAGTGGAATACATTAGCTCAATACTATACTTCATGAGCAAGATACGGGAAATGAAAGGGTAAATCTCCGAGGAGAGACGAGAGGGGTTAGGACTCTCCATTGGAGCAGAGAAGATTGGGGGTGATATGATGAAGGTGTTTTGGTAATGAAAGGGCGCGAAAAGAATTTTAAAACTCTTTCCACTGTTAGGGAATTCTAGGGCAATAAAAGGAGGTTCCGAAGAATGTTTTCTCCCAGAATGTTGATGTAATTTGCCAACGGTGGCTATTAAAAGTTTAATTAATTGGGGGAATTATGAGAGTTTGACAAACACTTGTAGGGGAAGGTTACCGGAAGGCCTAGGGAAAGAGTGGAGAATTGGGATTATGATGGATGGCTTCTTCAAAGAGGAAAACACTGAGATAAAAAAAGAAGGCAAATGGCACAACGACTGTTTTGTACATTTCTATGGTTCTAAAATTTTCGCTAATGTCTACTGTAATCTTTGATGTCCGGAAACTTCAAAGATCTACCCGTTAAATAGAAGTATTTTTCTTTTATAGGTGTACATTTACAGCCATTAAAATCATTCAATTCGCTGCTTTGTTTCCGAGCAGAAATTTGTGACTAAGAATTCCTGGTGACACATGAGTGAGTACCTACATCGGCTTAATTTTCTCCCGAAAAGGGTAGACATATTAGAAAGAATTCAAAGAAAGGCGTGAAGACAACACAAGTGGTTCAAGGGTATAGTTTTCGTGAAAAAAACGTTTGGCGAACCTGTTTTTGTTCATAAGAGCCTACTGAGCCACTCGTTTAGTTTCTTCTCAAAACATTCAGTGTAAGTGGCATGATGATGCATTTCGATGCAACTTACATCTGTGGTAACAGAGGAGCCACCCAAGAGCGTGTAAAAGAAAACTCAACTGTATAGCAATCTTCTCACCTCTTGAGTCAGAAGGTTGTAGTTTCAAGCCTGACATCCATACAGTCCGAGCTGATTCAATGCTGGAGGATTGCTGCATTGCTTGGGGATGCCATCCCTCTGATGAGACGTTAAAGCACAGACCCATCTGTCCGCTCAGGTTGGCGTTAAAGGAGATCCCATGGCACTGCTTAAAAAGAGAAAGGAGTTTCTCCCAGTGTCATGCCAAACAATTACCCCAATAAAATTGACCATTCCACTTCATGGCTGTTTGTGGGAAATTGCTGAGTTTTGGGACATATCTTCCCGACGTGCAAGGCACTTACCAAATGTAAAGATTATTAATTTTATTGCTATTAATAACTGAAGTCTGCTACACATAAATGAAAGGTATTGTATGCAGGGAGTAATAATGAACGGTAAGTGTACTTTCATGGATGGTATTGAACTTGCGAAGGGAGAAAATAGAGAGACCTTGGGTGTTAGTAGTCTCTGCATTCGCTGTGTAAGACAGTCATGTGATGAAGCAATAACATGGCATACAGGGTGTTGGGCTATGTTGCAAAATGTGAAGTTCGTATCCCCAGGAGTCATATTAAGCTTTAGTAAAAATAATGCTAAATTGGTCACTTCAATCCACGACTGTTTGTGGGGACGCTGCTGTGCGCAATTGGCTGCCGCGGTTCGCCCGCAAATATACAGTCAATTCACTTTACAGCATATTCTGTGAAGCACTTTGAGACGTCTCGAAGACGTGAAAAGCGCTGTATCAAATGCGAGGATTATTATTTTTATTTGGGGTTTTACGCTCTATTATTATGTATTATTATAGATCCCCAAATCTTATTCATCTGAACTCCTCTCAGCAGTAAGTGTGTTGCGTTTGCAAATTGTGCACAACATGTCATTTTTGTCAAGGACCTGAGAGAGGTGTTTGAATTGTCAAACGTATTAGTACTATTTGCATTACCAAAAACATCAAACATAAGTCAAGAAAGGAAAGAAGTACTTTACTGTTCTTTTGCTACTTTAATG